GTACGTCTTTATATGTAATTTTATATTTATTTCTATTGTGTTTGAAATATGGTTACTGCCGAAAGTAATGACAGCATTTATGGTAAACTAAAATTAAGTTGGCTTGGTTTTAGCTCGTTTTAACTGGTTTTAGCTGTTTGTTAGTTTTTTTGCTTTTTTGCTGCTATTATTATTATTATTGTTGTTATTATTGCTAAATCAGCTGGTTTTGGCAGGGTTTTTTTAGCTAAACCAACTGGTTTGAGCTGGTATTTAGCTTCTTATTTTTTTACTAAATCAGCTGGCTTTAACTGGTTTTAGCTGTTTTTTATGAACCAGCTGGTTTCAGCTGTAACATGCAAGCACCATATTATCAACATATTAAATCAGGCTTGCAACATGTTTTTGTTTTGTTTAGTTTTTTAGCTAAATCCGCTGGTTTTATCTGGTTTTTAGCTTTTTTCTAAATCAAGTGGGGGTTTCTTGTTTGTTAAATCAGCTGTTTTTAGCTGGTTTTTCCTAAATCAGTTGGTATTAGCTGGTGTTGTTGTTGTTTTTTGATGCACCAGCTGTTTTTTAGCAGTTTTTTGTTAAACCAGCTGGTTTTAGCCGTTTTTTACCTTTTAAAATACTAAATTAAAACAGTTTCAAACTGAAAACCTTCAAATATCAAGCTTTTAAAACTACTTCAAACTCTCTGCGTCGGCTTTTTCAAGCCATCTTCAACATTTGTCTACAAACTATACACAAACCTGTATGTCTTATATTTAAAATAGGTTTGTAATTGCACATTTGTAATGACGAAGCTGCATTTTAGTAAATATATTAACTTTAAATTAAATATTTAATAACAAACCACAGTTAAATGACACTCTCAGAAATAAAGGTATAAAAGCTGCCACTGCGGCGATACTTCTTCAAAAGGTACATGTTTGTACCTAATGGGTTCAGTTTGGTACCTTAAAGATACATATTAGTACTTAAAGTGTACATATTAGAACCTAATAGGTACAAAAGTGTACCTTTTGAAAAGGTACCACCCCAGTGACAGCTTTCTTAATTTCTGAGAGTGTATATTCAAGTACTTTACATGTGCTTAGTCAACACATCAAGATAAGTGTACTTCTTTAAAGCACGACAAAAGATTATTAAAACAATGATTTGAAAAATATACTTAAAGTAAAACTTTTAATGTGACATTATTACAAAGTGCAGTTTTTAAAAGGGTATTTAAGTGTGCTACATGAAAGTATATTCTTTGTAAGTACACTTAGTGGCCCTTTTTTCATTAATGTTTTATCTGCAAGTACAGTTTTAAAAATATACTTTTAAAATTTCAAGTACACCATAAGTGTGCTTTCAATACAATTAAGCGCACTTCTTTTTCACTGGAGGGTGCATAGGTACCGTTCAGGGCCGTTTTCAAAAGGGCCTTTATTTTTCCAGAAAATAACCTCAGGGCTCATAGCATTATTAATTTCATAAAAGTGTGTGTGTTTGAGTATGTGCATGTGTGTTCGATCGACTTAATTAAGACAGTGTTTTCAGGTGTGTGTGTGTGTGTGTGTGTGTGAGAGAGAGAGAGAGAGAGAGAGAGAGAGAGAGAGTGTGTGTGTGTGTGTGTGTGGTAATGTCCCAGAGCCGGCGTTTGATGTTGCGTTATGAACTTTGGTCAGGTTTAGAAGGTCTTGCTTGCAGTGGTATGGCGATGAACAACTGGGGTATGGCGGGGGAGGCTAGGGTATTGTATGGTATGGCATTTCATCTAATGAAGCCAGGACCGAACTTTGAATTTCGCATTTGTTTGCTGAAAGAGTCTCAGCCATTATCTGAATGTCTCTTTAGAAATAGTGCCTCACCTCTTACTAAGACTCTTTATCTTCAGTGGCAGGGATAGTAAGAGATGTCCTCTCTTGTTTGTCTAAAACAAGACCATGATGCCCTCTGCTGGCCATTTTTTGCATTCAGTCACTCCTGATGAAGGTCAAGTTGTTTATTTGTACTGTAGTACTTGCTTGTAGTACTGTAAGCCCAAGTATTCAGATTTGGTGCATAAATTGTCCTTCACTATCTCTAGTACATACATGAATGATACCTCAAATGTTACATGGCCTTGAGTGAGGAAGCTGTCTCATTTCTTTTCGATGAAATCAAACAGAAAAACTGGTGAAAATCCCATAAACTTGAATTGAAGAAGTGACCCAGCCATGTCTTAAGATCAGAATATAACTGAAACTTAGTAAGCAACCGTCCAGTAACGCCCGCATAGTAAATTGCTAACTGCAATTTTAAAAGATGTGGTGAAAAGATTTTCACAAAACCTGTGAAGAACATGTCCAGGTCACATTTAACCCCCAAATCAAAAGAATAAAAATAAAATCATTAATTATGGAGTATAAAGGAAATGAAACCTTTGCAGGACCATTACAGTCTACTGGTTAATTCTAAAAAAGTCAAAAAAGTCAGTCTATAGTGAGCAAATAAAATTATTTGCTTACATTAAAATAAAATAATAGAATAAATAAATAACATTTAATAATTAAATACACACACACACACACACACACACACATACACACACATATACAGTGGTGTGAAAAAGTGTTGCCCCCTTCCTGATTTCTTATTTTTTTGCATGTTTGTCACACTTTAATGTTTCAGATCATCAAACAAATTTAAATATTAGTCAAAGATAACACAAGTAAACACAACATGCCGTTTTTAAATGAAGGTTTTTATTATTAAGGGAAAACAAAATCCAAAACTACATGGCCCTGTGTGAAGAAGTGTTTGCCCCCCTGTCAAAACTGTGGTGTATCACACCTGAGTTCAATTTCTCTAGCCACACCCAGGCCTGATTA